CCCGTCGAACCCGAGCTCGACGGTGTGGTCCCCCCTCAGCTTCATCGGCACGCGGTGGGGGCTCCCGCACGCCCCGAAGCCGAGCATCGCCCCGGGACTGTGGTCCTTCCTCCGACCGGGTTTGAGGTAGAGGTCAATCTTGCGGTTGGCCTGGTGCTCGTCTTGAACAGGTCAATCTTGTGGCAGCGCGGTGCTCCTCTCGAAGTAGCGGCCGACCTTGCGGCAAGGGCAATCTTGCAGCAGTTCCTCTCTTGAAAGAGAGGGAGAAGTCAACCTTGTGGTGCCTTGCCTTGTGGTGGGGCTGCGCGAGAACTCGCTCCTTGAAGCGTTCTCCTTTCCGGGTCCCGAACTGCAGACCAGGGCCGATGCCTGCGACTGAGCGTTCTTATCGCATGAATGGTAGGGAGGGTTGTACCTCCCTGTTTTAGACGTTTGGTTTGACTTGGCTTTCCCTCCCCCCACCCCGACTCTCCGTTTTAGGGTTCCTCTGTGTTCTGATGCGGTGTTTCCTTTCCTGCGGTGTAAGTAAGGGATGAACCCAGGGGGGCAGGCCTCTGCCTTTTGCAGGCCTCTGCCTTTTGCTCACCGCGGCGATGCACACAAACCGTTCTCGAGCTTCGCTCGTACCGATGACTCCGCTTTTCGAGCGATACAAAAAGGGGCGAATTTTGTCAGCTCCGCACGATTCGCCGACCCATCGACGGTCAAGCTCCACGACACCGTTGGTCTCTCTTGACGCTTCAACTGGATTCCGACCTATCGAGCTGCTTCGGCATTTTTTGTTGAACGCTTACGCCTGCCACTAAACCCAGAGTGCTCTCAGCAACACTGACTCGAACGAGAAGAGGACAAACAACAAAAAGCGGGCCAGGCAGTATGGTAGAAGTCGAGACTGCCGAAGCGAGTCGCACCTTGCGATTGCAGCGGCGCTTTTAAACAGGGTTTCCCTTCATACGTTTTGAGTGCAGACAGATGCGGAGCGAGTATGCGTACAGCAGGGGCAAGAGGGGCGGAAGAGAGAACGGTTGCTTGCTCTGTGCCGGGGTGCAAGGGTCCGGCGTGGACAAGCCGTGTAACAATTTAGATCTCGGGCCGAACCAAGGGACACTTTTTCTGTTCCGAAAGAGGGTGCGGATCTCACGGTGAGCAGCAACCGGCAGCTGGACCGCCGGCCGGATCAGCAACGACGGAATGTAGTGGTGGAGTACCTTCCGTCTTCGGTTCAACCCCTTCAAGAGGCCAGTGCTTTCGAAAAAAGTACCGATGGGAATTGGGGCAAGCAGTGACACCGGGGTTTCTTCTTCCCCTTTGTCCCCGTCATCAGCAACCGTGGAGATGCGAATCGCCACTTCATGCTATTACAAGAAACGGCCACGCAAATCCGATTTTCCCAAACGAAGGCATTCATTGAGGCATTTTACAGTTGTCCGCCAATACAACCAAACATCGTACTTGAACTCCCCTACATCGTCACAAAGAATGCGGGCTCTTGTTTGCTTTAGTGGCATTGTCCTTTGACAGAATCAGCCGAGATCTTATTGTTTTGGTAGGGAGTCGTGCACACATGAATGATTTCATGGCCAGTCCGCTTTGAAGTAGTTCCAGGGCCACCCGAGGCGCCGCAACGTGTTGCATCCACAATCCACAAATAAAAAGAAAGGCTTGTACCTCAAATGGCTAGCAAGTTCGAAAAGTACGGAGGTCTGTTGGTTGACAGAGAACTGACCGACCGACCCTGCACGGTCCAGCTTCGCGAATCTACAGACTTTGAACACCGGGAGAAAAGGACAATACGCGGTGCACTGCCGGGCGTTGAGCACAAAAAGCCGTTCGAGCCCCATACGAGATTGCATCAAACCCCAGCTATGCGTGCGACTGCCCCTTTCTTCCAAAGCTCGAGATTAGCCGTCTTTGCTGAGCGTTTGCAAGAAAGCAATCAAGTCCGCTCGATCCGCATCGCGTTTTATCCCAGCGAAAGCCATTCGCGTCCCGGGCATGAACTTGCTGGGGTTTTGGAGATAGATATCAAGCACCTCGGGTGTCCAGACAACACCCGACCTGCTATTCGCCCTGCTGTAAGCGTACCCAGGGACAGTCCCCGCCACCCGCCCCACGACAGCGTTGAGGTTCGGTCCAATACCGTTGAGACCGCCCTGATAGTTTTGATGACGACGTGGACACGTGTTTAAACTCTAGTGACTTACTCCAAAGCCAAGGCCATGTCTTTACACCTTCGCTGAAGAGATGTGAAAACGGGGGTTTGCCGAGAGGCGAGCTGTGTTCAGCTACTATTAGCGTTTACGTACATTCCGCATAAATCGTTTGTGGTTGAAGGGAGGCGATTGAAATGAGTATGACTGACATACCATGTCTTGTTGTTTTGCAAAAAAAAACATCACGTAACAAGACACACCTTTTCGTACGTGTGACACTGCCCGCCTCTGATATCCAACAACTTCTTGCCTCGTTCTGGATTCCCAGATTTATACGGCATGTGCACTAGGGTTCCTCTGGTTGCTGTGTTCCGCCCGGCGGCGGAAGTCTATCCTGATGTTCGAGAATCATAGACTCCACGATCCGAATGCTTGATGGACATTGCTGTACTGCTCTACAGTCTGCAACCGCGAAGAGCGCAAGTACGCAGAGTGTTCATGCTGGGCAGGGCTGCTGCACTGTGCATGAGTGCACGAATAGGAGGGTGGGAATAGCAGTGCTGTGCTCAACGGAACAGCGCGGAGCGACGCACGTGCCAGAATATGTGTGCAGGATGGCAAGCACCGCATCGTTTCAGGATCGAAATAAAGCGGGTCCTCCGGTTTTGTGCGCTTTAGGTCGTAATGGGAAAAGAAGAAGGCGCCGGGAGCATGTGACAAGCGATTAACTGGGCTAGATACGATTGAGAGTCGCCAGGGGGCGAATCGCCCCAGGATCTTTCCGGTGGGGGAACTTCCTCCGGCGGCGGGATGCACGAGACCGACCAACGGAGCTGTCGTGTCATCGTTTTCGGCCGAAAAGCTTCTTGTACTCCTGACAGCTTGGTGTCGGCATTTGGCTTATCTGCGATGATTTTCGTTTTTTTGAGCTGGTACCAGGGAAGGGCCCAGTGTCAGGCTAAATCCCAACACACAGCCCCGGGCCCAGGAAAAGAACAGAACCTCATCTCCCCTTTTGACACGATCATCTGAGAATGGCGCGAACGTTTCAAAGCTTTCCGAAACACGGGTTTGCTGGGTGTAAGCTCCGCCGCGCGAGTCGCTGAACGCAGAAGAATTGTCTGCGGCGCGGTTATATGTTTCTTCACGTCGCTTGGGCGATGGCCGCGCTTCGATGGGCGCTCTTCTACGCCGCTTTGTTGACGGCTCCGACGCAGAGTTCGTCCCCTTCTTTGCGTCGTTGCCGTCTTTTTGACCCTCGCCGCTGGCTTCGATGACTCTGATGTTGCTCATCTTCTGCTGCTCGCTGCGTCGCTACTGGGGGTCCAAATACAATAGCACTGCAAAATCCACTGGGGGGTGACATACTCAAGGGGGGTGACATACTTAAGGGTTTGCAAAGGTCATCTGAGCCTCGGCTGGGGGGAAACGTCCTTAGCAGCCCTTCTAGGACACGACCGACCAGAGACAGAACGCTGGGCCCATGGCAAGGTACCAGATGCTAAAAGACCCGCCCGACTTCCAACCCCAGTTCCTCAGGACCCCCTGCCGGCAGGGAGACGCTGCCGACGCGCAGGACCCCAACGCAACAAGCAGCGACAAGCTCGAACGAATGGGCATAACGCCCCGCAGGCCGAACCAATGTGCCACACGAACGTGAAGAGAGTGATGATTGAACCGTTGCGCAAAGCAGACCAGTGACATGAATGACGTAAGTGCTACGTGATTGTCATCATACGTGATCCACTGCTCTCCTTCTCGCGCACAGTAGACATAATGGCCGCTGTGTCTACAAGTAGGCCGCTGCTTCCGGCTCAGCATTCACTCAAACTTCTGCATTGAACGCGCCTCAGGTTGCAAGTGCAAGACACTTGAAACAATTTTACAAACCTCCTTCCTGTTCACTTCCATCCCAAAAAAAATCCCAAAAATTCCAACACTTTTTCGTGGAATGAGTGCTGTCCTTTCTTTTTTGTTTCCAACAGCCAGTCCAACTGCCCCCGTCCGCTGTGCCCTGTTTTCGCGGTTCAGATTCTTAGCGGAAAGTGCAAGGTCGTCTTTTACCGCCTCAGGAGGGTATTGCTGTCTCTGGGCAGCCAAAAACGTTCTAAATGGGAGGTTTCGCGGGATTCAAAACTTGGGCGACAGCTGTCGGGCTAAAAAAAAGAAGGCGATTTTTGTTCACTACGGAGCGAGAATTTTGGACTCCCGCTCCATCGTAGGAAGACGAACTTCTGCTCCAAGATGACCTGATACCGTCGTAGTCCACTGCTGTCGTCTCAGGATCGAGGGAAGTCATTTTGGCTCCCACGGCACTCCCCGAACGAGAAATCAAAGATTATGGGTTCAGGGGGGAGAGGTGAAGTCCTAAATATGACGTTTGAAACTTTTTTTGCCCATTCTATTACTATTTCAAACTTTTATACCATTCTATTACTACCCCCAAACTTTTACGCTTAGAAACTTGCGGCAAAGCAAAAGGGGCCTCTTTGTTTCGTGCGGTGGGATAACGCTTCAACGTTTTCGGTACTGACGCCAAGTGCTGGGATACCAACCAAATGGTACAAAAGTTTGGGGATAGAAATAGAATGGTACAAAAGTTTGGGGATAGTAATAGAATGGTATAAAAACTTGGGGATAGTAATAGAATGGTATAAAAGTTTGGGGACAGTAATAGAATGGTATAAAAGTTTGCGATAGTAATAGAATGGTATAAAAGTTTGGGGATAGTAATAGAAAGTACTTCGCCTCCAGGGGGGAGTGTACAAACATGGCAAATTCTTTAATTATAGGATAGAAGGAAAAAAGTGCCTCATCCAAAAAAAAGTTTTTTTTCCGCCGCCCGTAGCGTAAATGGTCTAGTGGTAGAATGGCCCCCTGCCACGGGGTCGGCCCGGGTTCGATTCCCGGTTTACGCATTTTTCGAGACTGGAGGTCCTATGAACATGCAATGTGAATAGCCTCTATTCGAGCCAACCCGGCTTTTCTTCATGAGAACATTTGCGCCGGTAAAGACCGGCGCGCAGCGAGACTAGAGGCAGCAGATAGTACGTGCGCTCGGCTAAGGCCGGCGCGTGGCGAGACTGGAGGCAGCAGTTAAAGTTCGGGGAACAGCAAAGTTCGGGCGAAGCTAAGTTCGGGCAATGCTGAGTTCTGGTGAAGCAAAGTTCGGGGAACAGCTAAGTTCGGGCGAAGCAAAGTTCGGTGAAGCAAAGTTCGGGCGAAGGTGAAGCTAAGTTCGGGCGAAACAAAGTCCGGGCGAAGCTAAGTTCTGGGTGAAGCAAAGTTCGGACGTTCTGGTGAAGCTAAGATCGGGCGAAACAAAGTTCGGCGAAGCTAAGTTCGGGTGAAGCAAAGTTCGGGCGAAGCTAAGTTCGGGTGAAGCAAAGTTCTGGTGAAGCTAAGTTCGGGCGAAACAAAGTTCGGCGAAGCTAAGTTCGGGTGAAGCAAAGTTCGGGCGAAGCTAAGTTCTGGTGAAGCAAAGTTCGGCGAAGCTAAGTTCGGGTGAAGCAAAGTTCGGGCGAAGCAAAGTTCGGGTAAGCTAAGTTCGGGCGAAACAAAGTCCGGGCGAAGCTAAGTTCTGGGGGAAGCAAAGTTCGGAGAAGCAAAGTTCTGGTGAAGCAAAGTTCGGGCGAACAAAGTTCTGGGGGAAGCAAAGTTCGGGCGAAGCAAAGTTCGGGCGAAGCTAAGTTCTGGTGAAGCAAAGTTCGGGCGAAGCAAAGTTCGGGTCAAGCTAAGTTCGGGCGAAACAAAGTCCGGGCGAAGCTAAGTTCTGGGGGAAGCAAAGTTCGGGTGAAGCAAAGTTCTGGTGAAGCTAAGATCGGGCGAAACAAAGTTCGGGCGAAGCTAAGTTCGGGTGGAGCTAAGTTCGGGTGAAGCAAAGTTCTGGTGAAGCAAAGTTCGGGCGAAGCAAAGTTCGGGCGAAGTTCGGGTGAAGCAAATTCGGGAAACAGTAACTTTGTAACGTAGCTGGCCCCCACACTTCCAAGAATTTGGTTCCAAGAATTTGGTTCCAAGAATTTGGTTCCAAGAATTTGGTTCCAAGAATTTGGTTCCAAGAATTTGGTTCCAAGAATTTGGTTCCAAGAATTTGGTTCCAAGAATTTGGTTCCAAGAACTTGGTTCCAAGAACTTGGTTCCAAGAACTTGGTTCCAAGAACTTGGTTCCAAGAACTTGGTTCCAAGAATTTGGTTCCAAGAATTTGGTTCCAAGAATTTGGTTCCAAGAATTTGGTTCCAAGAATTTGGTTCCAAGAATTTGGTTCCAAGAATTTGGTTCCAAGAATTTGGTTCCAAGAATTTGGTTCCAAGAATTTGGTTCCAAGAATTTGGTTCCAAGAATTTGGTTCCAAGAATTTGGTTCCAAGAATTTGGTTCCAAGAACTTGGTTCCAAGAACTTGGTTCCAAGAACTTGGTTCCAAGAATTTGGTTCCAAGAATTTGGTTCCAAGAATTTGGTTCCAAGAATTTGGTTCCAAGAATTTGGTTCCAAGAATTTGGTTCCAAGAATTTGGTTCCAAGAATTTGGTTCCAAGAATTTGGTTCCAAGAATTTGGTTCCAAGAATTTGGTTCCAAGAATTTGGTTCCAAGAATTTGGTTCCAAGAATTTGGTTCCAAGAATTTGGTTCCAAGAATTTGGTTCCAAGAATTTGGTTCCAAGAATTTGGTTCCAAGAATTTGGTTCCAAGAATTTGGTTCCAAGAATTTGGTTCCAAGAATTTGGTTCCAAGAATTTGGTTCCAAGAATTTGGTTCCAAGAATTTGGTTCCAAGAATTTGGTTCCAAGAATTTGGTTCCAAGAATTTGGTTCCAAGAATTTGGTTCCAAGAATTTGGTTCCAAGAATTTGGTTCCAAGAATTTGGTTCCAAGAATTTGGTTCCAAGAATTTGGTTCCAAGAATTTGGTTCCAAGAATTTGGTTCCAAGAATTTGGTTCCAAGAATTTGGTTCCAAGAATTTGGTTCCAAGAATTTGGTTCCAAGAATTTGGTTCCAAGAATTTGGTTCCAAGAATTTGGTTCCAAGAATTTGGTTCCAAGAAAAAGTTCCGCCACCGGGAATTGAACCCGGGTCTCCCGGGTGAGAGCCGGGTGTTCTAACCACTATACTATGGCGGATGTGTTTTGGAGTGAATGAATGAATGAAAAACAAGCACCGTTCCTTCAGCCGCTCAGAAGAGCAGCATCCGGAACGGTCAGGCGTTACTAGCCCGTTTGCGCCAAGAGACACGCGCACGAGTGACAGGTCCACAGGTTAGGGGATAGGAAGGGGGGGGTCGACGAGGGAAATAAGAAAGAAGACGGAAATAAGTAAAGAAATAAAGAAAGAAAGAAAGAAGTGTTTCGCTAGCGTGGCATGTCCCCGAGGACCGTTGTGCGCCTGGGCTGCGTTTGTGCCGTCGGCCTCTCGGCCGGGCCTTTTGCCCCCACGGTGACGGCAACGTCGCTCGGGTTCGCCTGCGCTACGACTTGCCGGTGCAGCCCGAAAACCGGATTTGCTCAATATTTGACCTGTACATGTCGGATATGAGGAAGCAAAAAACTGTGACACGTTTTCGTGGAATGAGTGTTATGTGCCGCGCTGTTTGCGGTCGAGCTTCCCCGTTGTGTGGCGGGTACGGTTGTCGATCGTTGCCGTGGCGTTGGTGATTGCGTTCCGTTGGTCGGGAGCCAGCGACTTGCAGTCCTGCATCCAGTGATGCTCCACCGAGCCGCTCCGGCTGGTACAGAATAGTTGGTTGTTTGGGTGGCCTGGGCGGCGTTTGACCAAGGGCAGCTTTGGTAAAGCACCGACAACTCCCCTTTGGGGCCTTCCAGCCGGGTTCCGTGTGGTGCTTTCCTGTTGCTTCCCTGTTAGCAGCTGTGCGGGCGTGTCGGCCTGCGCTGTTGCGCGAGACGGTTGCCCTTTTTTCCCTCCGGCCTCTGTGCCTGGCGCAGCCGGGGCTGTTTCTTGGGCTATACCACTACTGTGGTATTGCCAACGTTTGCCAATATGAAGGCGGTCACACGTTTCAACTTGTAATTGAAGGGGCGGGGGGGAAAGAGAGTCCGTTGTATGCGAGGCGCGTCCCCGTGCAGTACCGTGCCGCGGTTTACCCTTCTTCTCCCCTTCCTGTCACTCAGCCGGGTTCTGTGTGGTGCCTCCCTGCTGGCGGCTGCGTGGTTGTGACAGTTTGTTCTGCACTCACTGTTGTCCTGATGTGGGGCTGCGGTTTGCCAACGCATACAAAAGAACAAAAAAAAAAAAAGGAGACGAATGCACAGCCAACTCCAACCAACTTGTGCGTGCGCGGAGCGGACGCGGATCTCCAGCGGCGCAGCTTCGAGCATGCGTCGCGCCGTCGGCGTACCGCGTTCCGCGAACACTGCGACCGCCGTTAGCGGGAGAGCACGCGGGTTTGCCTCTACAGTATGGGCACAAGCCCGTACTCGTGTTCTTCGGTCGTGTCCGGGGTATCGTCAGGGCTGGACGCCACAAGGACTTGGAAGGGTGGAAGGGCGCCAGCTCTCTGTAAGTAAAAAAGGGCGAGCTCGGGGTGGACGAATAAGAAGTACCAGAGGGAGTCGATGGGTCCGCCTGGGTCCTTCTTTATCCGCCTTGTTACCTCAAGCCGCAGCGTGGTCCTGAGGGGAGCTGTAACGAAGGCTCGGCAGTGCACGAATAAGTGCAGCAGGGGGCTGGGCGAGCGAGCCCCGCAGATCGGGCACGGAAGGAAGTGCCACCGCCGCTCATCCGAACCGAGGGATACGTACGACGCAGAATAAAGCGTCATGATCAGGCGGTGGTGTCCGGTCCTCAGCTGGCGAATCTCTCGCTCCGCCCGCGCCGTGAGGTGACGGCGTCGAGGTATCGGCCGCCCGTGAACAATACGGGCGAACGGCGAGATGTTCCCGTGCTCGTCTGCACGCTCGAACGCACCCTTGGCACCTAATTCGCTGCTATCCAGTCGTAGGTACCGTCGATAGCGGCAGATTGCATCAGCGACGGTCAGCGGGTAGGGCTCAGGGTGAATCGCGGAAGAGTCTTCCGCAGCCTGACGGTGTGCGAGGGCCGCAGTTTTTGCGAGGTTGTCCGCCACGTCGTTGCCTTCAAGCCCGCAGTGCCCGTAGACGAACTGCAAGGTGGCTAGATAACCCCTTGCTTCCAGATCCGACAGGATCTTCCAGCACTCTATGGCGAGAGGCTCGACTTGGGCATGCGGGCCGGCACTCAACGTTTTGAGAAACGATTGGGAGTCGCTCAGGATGAGGATGTGGAGCGGGCGAGTCGTCGGCGCGAGATGCTGACTGTAGAACACCAGGGCCGAGTACAGGGCTACCTGCTCCGCGCGGTAGCTGTGCGCGTATTTCCCGACCGGGAACGACCGGGTTGTCGTGCGCCGATCCCCGGCGGCGGTGAGCTTCATACCAGCGACGTTGCGCAGGCTGTCGGTGATAGACGGCTCGAACACGAAGTACAGTCCGGCCCCGCCCCATGTCGTCTTATCGTTGTAGCGCTTCAGCCACGGGAGATGACGTTCGTCCCAATTGTCGGCTATCGAGGGCGGCGGCTGGGGCGGCGGTTCACCTTTGAGCACCGAGCCGTCCACCCAGGCTGAGCAGTCCGTCGGGTCAAGCTCATTCAGCCGGGCTACGACGATACGCTTCTTGGCCGCAGGCGAGTCGCCCTTCTTCCCTGGCAGGGTGGCGACTATAGACACCCTAGGGCTGGGCGTCCAGGGGGCAAACGGGTTGAAAACAAATTCCTCGCGCTTGCACCCGTCCGTATCGGCCTTTTCGCACAAGTCAACGTAGTCTCGCCTCATCGTCGAGTGCATGGCGAGCTCCTTTCGCCAGAGCGTGCCGCGGCGCCGCATTCTCTCTCGCAAAGCGGCGATACGGAGCCTTGCTATCGCACGGAGCGGCAAGATCCCGGATTC